CTTAACCACTTGAGCCACCGCAGCTGTCTCTATAGCTGTGATCTATTTTGCCAGCTCTTATGAATCACCCCCTCCCCAAGGAGTTGTGCTGTTAGGCTTTCATTATAGCAAATTCAGCTGCTGTTGGTTTTTGTTTCCCCCCCAAAGAAGTATCTTTAGTGGTGGCTTGAAATCATGGGAGTCTTCCAGGCTGCACCTGCCTTCCACCTTACTCTCAGTTTCATGGACCCCTGTCAGTATGGCCAATGTCCAGGAGACCAACCTTAAAAGTTTCAGCACTCCTCTTTATTGTTAGTTTTAAACATACATTTCAAAAAATTCTGTACATGCTGTTGGTACGGGACTTATCTGAGGGGAATCAACTAATTAATGAATTTCTCAATTAGCGACGCTGTGTATCAAGAACATTTTTAAAAGTTGTATGGTTTGCAGAGACTTAGGAATCTGAAATGTTTGGTACTGGCACATGCTTACATGAAATGCCCATTGTGGCAAAGGTAGGATTTAGGGAGATTAATGAAAAAAACAATTTGCATTGATGTAAGTTTGTGTTAAAAAGGAAGAAACAGTGGATTTTGAAAAATAATCTTATTTAATGAGGAGACCACTGAATGCACACACCCCCAACAAACAATAGTATTCCTAATGTATACTTTCCCACTTTGCCCTAATTTATGAATCTCCCTTCATCTGATAACCAGAAACATACAGGAGAAATATGGGGGCAGAATTAAAAAAAAAAAAACCCTTTAAGATAGGGAGCCTGGTCTCTTTGTGGAGATACAGAGAGAGGAGTCTCTGTTTTGCTTTAACTCCACAATGGCCCTTTAATACCTGGGTCTCCCTGCAGCTTCCTGTGCTTTTCTAAGTTGCCTCCAACAGAGCTCCGTGCTTCTTTTTACATCACTTCTGCCCTTCCCATGTCCTTTGGCTGTGGTGAGAGCAGCAGCACAATTCCTGCCTGCACAAGCTGTTCTTAATGAAAGGCAGCGCCAAGGGCAAGAGACACAGCCGCACTGGGATGGAGAGGCAAGCAGCTAGGGAAAGGAGAAGACAGGCAAAGGAGAGGGCGGTAAAGGGGCAGAGTCTAGGGATGGGATCCAAGTCAGCTTCTTAGAGCTAGATCTAAGCAATATGAGCTTTTAGCCCAGTGAACCTGCCAGGAAGGCCACCTATATTTCTCCGCTGTTTTTGCCCTTCCAGGGACAGCCTGGTTTGTTATTTGATCCTGCAGAAGCATTTGGATGTTGGCTCACTCTGCGGTGTCCTGAGCTCTGCAAGGAGATGGAGCCAAGGCAGGAGGAGATGCTGATGAAGAACCAGGAGTCGCACCCAGAAAGAAGGGAACAGAAGCCATCTGGGGGGGAAGGTACACTCTCAGGGGAAAACAGTTTCCAGGAAGGAGGTGATAGATTAGGACAAGGGGACCCTCCAAGCCAAGAAACCGCAGAGGCCGTAATACAGCTGCCAAATAGTTTTGAAAGAGAAGGTCCTCCTGAGGATGAAGCTTCAAAAGAACAAGGCCTGAGGCCCTCCTTAGATTACTCAGGTTTAGACGAAGACGGAACTCCGAGTTCCCCAGGAAAAGAGATGGTAATATTAAAAAGAGCAATGAAGGAGGAGATGTCGCCAGCTGGAGAGACGAGGTGTGAGGATTCCCTGATGGGGGAACTCTCTGAGATGGTGCAGAATATCGTGAAGAAAAGCAGCTGGTGGGAGAGGCATGGCATTGATGATACTATTATTATTGTGAACTTTCTCAGTCTCCCAGTAGGTAAGCCTACAATATTTGGGTACTCTGTAGAGTGTGACTCCTGTCTGGTTTTCTCACTCTGTATTAATAGGGAAATCTGCAATTAATGGGGAAAACTGTTGTTAGGCCTTCTGGTTTATTGATCTTGAACACTGTGGGATTATATAATTGATTGCCAGATACTAAGCCAACAAAGGGCTGGCTATTACATCTTGCCCTCCATTGCCCTGATTACTGAGAGATGGGTTAGAAGGACCCTTGGTCTGACCTTGCCTTGGCAATTGTTCTTGGGTTTGTATGTTGATTAGTACAGGCAACAATTTCACTTTGGCAGAATGGCCACATTTTCAATGTACCATCAGTGAGAAATGGCCAGTATCCACACTGACCAATGATCAATTACAATAATGTATTATAACCAGGATGCTGGGGTTCTTACAGACTTGTAGAAGCGGAAGAAGTCTCTGAGGGTAATCATGTTCAGCCATAACTAATGTGTGGCAAACTGTACTGAGCAACAGTGGTCATCATTGCAATAGTTTAGAAAAAATAGCATTGCCATTAAAGGTATGCTGTGTTTTGTTGGATCATCTAGATCCAAATTATTTATTTTACAAAATTTAGACACTGCCCCTCTGCCCTAAGGTGCATTTTACATAAGAAAGGGATGGTCAGCTCCTGTATTTTAGGGAGCCAATCTGTTCTTTAGACAGTAGCCCAGTATATTGGGCTGCAAAATTTGATCCTCTCATGGATTAACAGGCTTTAATATAATCATTATTACAATAAAGTCAGTGCTGTCCTGCAGTAAGTTAACTTCATGTTGCCAGGGCAGTAAGATGTCATCCATGGGGACATGAAGTAATGAAAGTGCTGCCCAATTTTTTTCCTGAAGTGGCAGATTGTCACTGTGGTCCTTGCCTTCCATGTGTGTGCATGAAACAGCAACACAGTTTAATATCATTGGGTGTCTCATTTGTTGTTGTTCAGTCGCACAGTCTCATGCTTGTATACAAAACCAAGGTGTGATATTAAAGCACAAAACAAACCTCTCACAACCTTTAGAAAACAATCTTATTTTCTTCATGAATGAAATGGTGGGTTAAATTTTTATCACTCCTTGATTAAAAATTTGATTGGGGACCATACAAATGTATGGTTCATATGCTTGCTCAGCTGTGAAGCCCACTGGGTGATCTTAGGCTGCAATAAAAACTATTTAAACTGTGAGACATCCACCTGTGGAAGTAAAGATGTTACCTTGTCATTGTGTATTAGGTTTCATTAAATTCTTTGAGGTGCGAAGGAGGAGAACTGGTTCTTCATGTTTGATGCATCAAGTAGCTCAACAACATTGGCAGGGCAGTGCTGTATACATAAGCAAATACCTACCTGTGGAAATTAGATCATGCCCATTGTTATGCCACGTACTACTCACACAGTCAATATTCTAGTTATTCCCGAGATATGCAATAATTGTCCACCATAGCGTATTGCATCCAGAAGGTTAGGATTGCAAACATTGCCCTATAGTAGGGTTGCCAACAGCCTTGAGAAAAGCCCCTTTAATGGAGGTTTAATGAGGTTTATTTACCGTACCTCTTTCAGCGGCCCATTTCCAGATATTTGATTTCTATTACAGGGACATGAAATCTTTTTCTCCAGGCTGTTGGTAACCCTACTATGAGTCTTTGCTCATCCAGTTTATGGATTGTTCCAGCAATACTGGACTTATCCAATCTCACATACGTTTGGTGCATTTACTAATTCTCTGTGATGCAAACAAGATGTTGCATTGTCTGATGTCTCTTTGCATCACAATGCAACTGTATTATAGCCAGGTTGAGTTTCTTTGTTTCAAGTGATAACCACCAAAGGAAGGAGATGGCTGTTGTCAGGGGTCATTTCGTAGAAAAAGAGGTGCAGGAGCTCATTACCATAACTCATTAGCATAACTTATTTGCATATGCCACACCTCCTGACATCACTGGAAGTGCTTCAGAAGGCAAACACCCACCACTCAGGCTCCACTGGACTGTTTTGGATTGCTAGCTATGGGGGGGGGGACGTGCAGATCTGTCCTTGCAGAGGAGGGAGAGCTTGTACCTGAATAAAACTTGGTCTTAAAGGTGCCACTGGACTGTTTTGGACCGGGGGGCCTCTGCAACTTACCTGGCTGCTTCTTCCTCTGACTGAGGGCTGCTGGGAGCAGGGGGTGGGGCTTGTTGCAAGTGCCCGCCTTCTGGGCTCTTTACTGCCAGAGCTCCGCTCCTGTGCACTCCTGCATGAAATGACCCCTGGCTGTTGTTATGATCTTATCCTGGATCCCATTTCTGAGTTTGCACAGATCAGGTCAAAGATGCTGCATTTCACTTCCTAAAGACTGATGCCCAAATTAGGTAAAATCTTGTCCTGTACATATAGAAAGTTACTAGAAATAATTATAGCTGGAGATGGGATATTAAGTGGGGTGGTATACTACATGGCTAAATTTGCAGTTTTGTTTAGAGCCTGATCATATCATTCAGAGGTCATTTCGGGGGGATCGTGGGGGATCGCAGTTCCCCCGGGTGAGGTACAGGGGGCGGGGCACATGACGAAGCCCCGCCCCCTGCTTCCGGCCACCCTGCTTCCGGCCCTCATTCAGCCAGGAGGAGGCAGGAGAAGAGGGAGGGTAAGTTGCTTCCTCCCTGCCTCTCCCCACCCCTGCCTGCCTGGGGCCAGGGAGGGCCTTCGCGGGACTTCCTTGCACTCCCGCCGGCCTTGCAGGTCCACCGCCGGGCCCGTCATGGGGCTCGGCAGTGGAGCTGCAAGGCCAGCTGAGATATGCTAATGAGTTCCCCTAGCTCTTTTTCTACGAAACGACCCCTGATATCATTCAACAAGGAATGGCATACACTTCAAAAAAACATTTATAAACTGGCTGATAAGATGTTCTGCTTAGTATCTGTCCTTGGTTGTTTGAACCATTTGGAATTACTTCATATAGACATGGCTGAATGTTTTTGAAGGTCTATCTAGATGTTACAAGAGATGTGATTGTTTCATATCTTTTTTTAATTTCTTAAAAAAACAGAAAAAAGAATGAGCAAAAGTCTTAAAATCCATCAACCAAATAAAGTGTAAAAAGAAAACAATATATATACATAAAGTAGAAACAAAAATATAACAATGATGGCAGATCTATACATAGGCCCCGGCCAGACGTGCCAGAAAATGCGCGCGGGGAGCGCAGCTATTTGCGCCGTCGCATTCTGATGCGCTATTATGCGATCAGACGTGACGGCGGGGGAGGAAGTCGCGTGCCAGCACGGTCACACCAGGAAGCTTCCATAGGCGGCCCGTGGCAAAGCATTTGCTAGTACATGCGGTGTGCTAGTTTTTTACTGTGTGGCTTCGGCGGCTTGCCACAGGTTCGCCACGGGAGTGCTACGCCTCCCAGATGTTCCCGTGTGATCGCGCCCAAATACTCCGTGGGACTCCCATGCCTTCAGTGGGGCAAATGCTCCGTGTGACCCGGGCCATAAATTTCTATAAACAATTTCTAAACATCTAAAAATAAGCCCACATGCAATTGTCATCTATATGCCATACATTCAAATACTGATAGAGTTCTAAGGTCCTCAATCTACTGATTTATCGGAGGTGGCGTTTATCTTTCCAGTGTTTAATATCAGTGTTTTTGCTGTAGTAAGGGCACAGAGGGTCAATTTTCATTGACCTTAGCTTCCAAGAGACAGGTAGATAATTGAAAAGTACACAAGCATCCTCAAAGATCAATGGATATTCTAATACTAGACTGATATGAGTAATAACTTCTCAGAAAAACCAAATTATTGGACACAGCCAAAGCACAAGGGGCGCATCCTGTGAGTTAGAACACCAACAGTTAGACCTGTTAGTCAGTCCTTCACTAAAGAGTCACAGTGGTATCCTAAACATATCCTAAACATAATTTTTGCTGAATGAATGGCAACTTAAGATCCATGGAGAGAGCAGGTATAAACTTCAAGGTTGTATCCCATTGCTTTGGCAAAATAGGACAATCTAGCTCCTTATTCCATTCATTCCTGAGACTCTGCATATATTTATTGACATCAAATATTTATAAACAAATATTGTAGGTTTCATTCTCTGCCTTGATTCAATTAAAGTTCCCAGAAGCAAAGGGGACTCTGAGACACTTAATGCTGCAGGGCTGTATTTAGGTATCAACAGATGTTGCAGTTGTAAATACTGACATACAACAGAAGTTGACAAGTCATATCTAGACGCAGCTGAGAACATGTTTCAGGTCTATTCCCCCATTCCTTATAGCAATTAGTTAAAAAAACCCAAAACCCGACATTTATTTGTAAGACCTTTAAGCTGCCATTCTACCCAGCTCACAGTCCCCAAGGGAGTGGACACAAAAACATTAAAATAATATTAAAACACATATAAATATATAAAAACAGTTAAAACAGAATACATAAACAAACACGTGAATGGGAGGAAGGGTCAGTGAGAAGCAGTGAGGGAATTACTAGACAAAAGAGAAAAAGTCTTTACTCACCGGTGGGAGACAGAAGGGGACAGATGACTCTCCCTGGGGAGGGAGGTCCATACTTTTGATGCCATGACTGAGAAGGCTCTTTTCTGGGTTGCTACCCATCTAGCCGCAAGCAGGGCCATCTGAAGCAGGTCCTCCAAAGATGACCATGGTGGTTGGGTAGGAAGAGGGAGCATTTTCTTATCCCGTCCAGCACCAGCTGTGACTAGCCAGTGCTTTCTAGGCGTGAGCCAACACACGACCACTGAAGAAAGCTTAAATCATCTTTATTCAACTTCACACGCATTCAGAAGATCATTTACTCACAATAGATGGGTGGGAAGTTACATCTTGTGATCTAGGTTAGTTCAATAGCCGCGGTGAGAAAGAGATGGGCTTCCCCTCTCCTTGCCGTAAGGGTTGATGAACAAAGAAACAGAAAAGATCCATAAAGTCAGGAAATTGCTCTTAATGAGCCAGTCAGAGGGAAGCTTCTGGGACCCCTAACTGCAAACCACAATTCCCAGGAGCAACAAGTCTTTAAAGATACAGCACAGTTTTACTAAACTACAGATAATGCTGACTGGGGCAGCACAGGGTAGGTTCATAAGGGTTAGGCGGTCTCCTTATCATTCTGTTTGTTGCCCCTCTCCTGCCAGTGACAGCTAATAATATGGGACAAGGGCGGAGTAATTTACAACATGAGGGCAGCGCATCAGGTGTTGCATTCATAGCAGAAGCCACAAGGAAGAGACCCTAAATAGCGAGTACTGCATATTGTTTAGCTAGATCCTTAGAGACTCTCAGTCAAGTCAATGTAAAAAAATAGGCAGCTTGTTTCAAATTATTAAAGCTTTATTAGACTCCAAAGTGTAGACACAACCCAACTCCACAGTGTTCTTATTCTGTTTGAGTTCAGTCTCCCTTCCAGCTTAGAACCGAACCGAAATAAATCTGAAAGTCTTATTAGTAGAAGAGAATATAAAAGTATAGTTCTGTGTCCACTGTGTTCTTCAATTGCTCTTGGTAGTGTAGAAAAAAATTAAAGGTTGTGCACAAAAAGATAAAGTCCTAACGTTTCCTCTCCTTTCCCAGGGTTCTTGCTTCTGAGTTCCTACAGTGTTTTTTCTTTCCTGTTGGGCATTGTTATCCTGGGTGTGGCACATTACACAATAACCGTGAAGGGGAGCCACCTGGCCAGCCACAATTCTCTGGTGGAGTCCAAGTCGTGGGGGAAAGTATTGGCCATATTCTTCTTAGAGGTACGTTTTCAGTAACCCATACTTTGGACACAGGAAACAAGTGAGACCGTGTTTTGTTATGCATAAGATCCAACAGGCTTGTATAAAGCAGAAATTTTACAAACCTTACCCTACGTGATGGAATGGAAGACATTTTGTTGCTTGGAAACCCATTGTCCCACGTTTCCAAATTGTCATACAGCCTAACCCAAAAATCTTGCCTGGGTTTTTGCAATGGTACTGTAGTAAAGGATGATGCTAGGGTAATGCAGTGTAATGCATAAGATCTACCATTTGCAGTTCATATAAATGCTATGCAATCACAATACATAGACCAAATCTTCCTGCCTTCACTCATCTTTTAATTACTGTTTTTCTGTGCTTAGTTCTGTTTTTACTGATTTTCATGATATTTTTATAATACTTGTTTTAACTCTTAGTCACTTTTGTCGAATCTGCATTTGCATTTTAAAATCAGTTTCGTGCTGCTGTGACGCCGTCTTTTAAAGCAGTGGGGAGAGCTTTAAAAGAATGACAGTGGAGCAGCCACGAGAAGGTGATAAACATATATGGACGTGCAAAAGTATGCTAGCACTGTTGAGGTGTGAAAACGACACCAAATGTAGACAGCTTTTTTGAAGATGGAGTCAGAAGGCTGGGACACTGGTGGGAAAGACAAATGCAGATTCATCCTTTGGTGGCCTTCATAGTACAGAAAGACAGGGTGGAGATCTGTAACTAAATAAATAATGCTGTGCCTTGTAAAGTCGGCCATCTATGATTCTTGCAGAGATGAAGAAGGCAAGCTTTCCAAATCTGATTCAGAAATACTTTGGAAAGTCTTGCTAATCTTCCTGGATATCTGAACTAAATCAAAGCTGATATTTCAGATGTCTAAAATAAGTTGGGGGTATCTGAAATGCAATCATCAGCAACAGGACATTCCTACTGCAGTCTCTGTGTCACAGACCAGGCCCTGCTGGAAATATACTGGAAATGGTGGGAATGATTAGAATAGATGTCTTCAACCCTTTGCTTGGGATTCTCAAATGCTTTGTGGCGCCCCAAGTATTGGTGCAGAACTACTCTCCTCCCTCCCTCTCTCCCTCCCTCCCCCCCCTCTCTCTTTCTTCTACTGCTAGTGCACGGACATAGAGATGAAGGATGCCACCACACCTCCTGCCCCTCCATGCAGCCTCACTGCGAGGAGCAGCAGAGCAGTGAGGGAACGCCTCAGTGGCAGGGAGGATTACTTTTATGCACAGCCAGGTTCAGAAATTTGCTCCGCTCTCCATCTGTCACATGACTGTGGTGACAAGTGACTTCTGGTCATGGGCTTGCAGCTCCATGGGCCCATGCTTTTTTCTGGGGTTAGAGTTGTCAATAGGGTTGCCAGCTCCAGGTTGGAAAATACCTGGAGATTTTGGGGGTGGAGTCTGAGAACGGTGGAGTTTGGGGAGGGGAGGGATAATACCATAAAGTCCACCTTCCCAAGCAGCCATTTTCTCCAGGTGAACTGATTTCTATTACCTGGAGATCAGTTATAATCCCAGGAGATCTCCAGCCACCAACTGGAGGTTAAAACCAAAACCAAAGAGCAGCACAGAAGAATTATGCAAAACAAAGGAAATAATCTGTGCTCAACAATAAACAACCACAAGTCTTAACCAATTGTCTCAAAATGTAATAAGGATATATACTAAAAAGGACATAGTCCAATGTAATACAAATACATACCACAGGACATAGATATATTTAAACTTTTGCACTTTGATTTAAGATTGGCAACAACTTTGCACAAGGAAACAATATGTCAGTGAAATTTTCCCCTTTGGAGCAGAAGACTTAAGAGTTCCATCTTTGTAAAGAAGCCTTTGGCGAAACGCAGCTTGTTACCAGCTAGCTTACGCTTAAAGAATATCGAGCCTACATTAGTTTCCTCACCAGGCTCCAGTGAATCCTTGAACTCCTGTGGGACTATTAAAACTGTGAGATTGTGTTCCATATTATTGGAGTTTCTGGTGTATGAGTTGACAAAGCTTAAATATATCTATGTCCTGTAGTATGCAAAACACACCTTGTTATATTTAAATTCATTGTATTTGTATTACATCGGACGGTGTCTTCTTTATTATATCCTTATTAAATTTTGGTACAATCATTTAAAACTTGTGGTTGTTTATTGTTGAGCACCAATTGGAGATTGGCAACCCTAGCTGCCAGGCCAACACACACACACACCCATCACATGCTCTTAAGTAAAGACTAATCTGAACATTTTGCAGTCTGTTTCCAAATCTACCAAGTTATGTGTGGATGAAATATTAAGGCACTTGATTAGCATCAGATTGATTTGATTCAGGGGTTAGAAAACGACTTCCCTATGCACATTTGATTTATATGTTTATTCGTACAAACCTTCATTTCAAAATTACAGGACAATTTGGAGCAGAAAAAGTGGATGAGGAAAGGGTTAGGCACCTCTTCCTGCTACCTCTCTGCTCCCAGGTACCAAAAGAACTGCAACTATGGTTACTAACATGTAAAGTGCTTTTTGACCTTTAAGCAGTACAAACTGACAAAACATCTCCCTTGATATGTTATGAGGATTTTTCAGGTAACAGTTGTCCAAATACTCAGATTAACATAGTCCCACTTGGCTCTGAGGGTCTGCTCTGACTTAAACAAGTAGAGGGTTTACAGTCTGGGGGCATTGTTCTAAACCTACCCTCATAACCAGGCTCATTTATTTAATCTGAATTAACTCCCAAGTAAGCATCCTGAGAGTCACTGTCATGGGAAAAGCATTGTGAGGAAGAAAACAGGAAGACTTTAAAAAGAGGCTCGCTGTGCTATGAACATGTTTTGAGGTTGTTTTTTTTTAAAAGATTGTACATGTGGTTGTAGTATTTCAGTAAATCGCATGTCAGTACATACTACAACCATTGGCTGGCCACTCCATCACTGCCACCGTTTCCTCCTCCTCTTTCCTTCTGTTGGAAAATTAAATGCCTAGCAGCTGATTTCTTGAGATGGAAAAAGATTGTGCCACTTGCATCTCAAGCACCCAGCTGAGAAGAGCTTTCTTTCCCGGGAAAGGTTAACAGTTATGGCAGTGAGCAAGGGAACAAGTGTGCAGGCAGACACAGAAAGCACTTGGCTGTGGGACAGTTGCCTTCCCAGCAATGGTGGCAGCAGGGTGCCAGGACAGTAAGCAGGGGAAGAAGTTGGCTGTAGGGTGTTTCCTTTCTCTGCTTGGTTGCTTGCCCCTTCATTCACTCTCCTGCTGCCTTCTTCACCTGCTGCTATGGGGAAAGAAAATGTTCTGCAGCCAAGAGCCTGAAATGGAAGAGACCATTTCTGGCGGCGGGGGG